TGGATATCTAGTTTATATTTTTCTATTAAAAAAAATAATGTTAATTTATAGGTATGCCCACTATATTTGCCAGTTTATCTATACATAAGAAAATAACTGTAATGATTGCCCCCCCCCCCCCCAAAAAAAAACAAAAAAAAAACAATTAAGGTCTTTTGTTTTGTCCCTTTGTCAAGAATAGAACTTTTGTTAGGTTGCCCACTTTGCTCTTAAATTATTAGATTCATTGGGAACACCTTTCCCAGGTGCCAAGTATTATCAGCCTAGATTTTTAAAAAAAAAAATATTTGGAAAGGTTCTCTTGCAGAAAAACCATTGATTTTGGGGTCAAGGATCGATGTTTTTGTGTCATGGTGGAAAGGGCCTAAATAGCAGATTTTCCTATGGGAGGGGGACACCCCCTCTCATTCCCTCACCCCTAGGCCTTTTGGGTCTCAACCTCTCTCCCCCATGAACTTCTGGATCCGCCACTTCTTTTCGCCAGGTATCTGAACCTCCACGCTTTTCTATGTTGGGTACGAACTTACGAAGGGTCCGTATTCCCTGGGTTTCGGAGCCTCCGCTGGATCTGCTGCTGAAGATGTAAAATTATTGGAGAATCACAAAAAATTTTGGAAGAAATTTAAATATGCCACGGAGTTCAATATTTTTTGTAAAAATGGCTCAACGATCCATGTCCCCTGTATAGTATACATTGCTTACGAATTATGTACTCTTTTCTAAAAGTACCGCTGCAGCTAGAGAATCGCCACTTTTTGTTTGAAAAGAGACGTAACTCGAGAAATACTTACTAGTTCACTGATACGTCCTTTTTTGAAAGTCCCCCCCCCTCCCCCCTTCTTCCCACTAATGGCTTTGATTAGCAGCATCTGTTCTACATAATTTAAAATATCCTTTCCTTATATTTGCGTGTTATTTTCTGCAGCTTCGTGTTTTGATTTAAATGTCCTGAACACCCCCTCCGTCTCCTTTTCTGAAGCAGTCAGAAACACTTCGAATCTCTCTCTCTCTCTCTCTCTCTTAATGGAAAGCACAAATATTGCTCAAACCATTAATGATTAGAAGATTACTAATTGTTTCAAGCGTTTAGCATAGGGTACGTTAAAACGGGCGCAATTGATACATCGAACGCTATTGATACAGGTAAAATAGGCTATCAATTCAGAGGGGGGGGGGGGGTTCCTCCATTCTATGAGTTATTTTAGCAGTACTAATATGTTTAATAAAAGCATAGATCTAAAGCAAATTTGCTTTTCTTGTATGATAAAAGCAATATTTTACAACAAAAACAAAAACTGATTTATTCATTTTTTTATGTAAACATTTACGTAAATTATAATGTTGTAAATTTTGAATTTACTAGGTGGAAGTAAATGCAAAATTTACAACATGAAAAACTAGTTATTTTGCATTTACCTCCACCTAGTAAATTCAAAATTCACAACATGATAATATTGTCAGATAATATTTTTGGTCACGAAACAGGGGGTCGATCTCTAAATCCGCTATTATTTATTCAATACATCCAACTGAAATATGATGGTTCGGTGAATTTCTTTGTTGCATCCTCACGTTTAATTTTCGTTCGTTGAAATAAAATAGATGTTTATCTGTATTTCAAATAAGCAAAATTTTCCAGACAAACCGAACACAACAGAGCAACGCCAATCAGTTGCAAAACGGGCGGGGGTTGGGGGTTATAAACTATGTGTAAATAAAATGACGGTCAGCACACCAAAATCTTATTTTATTCCTGTACAGTGAAAGTTTTTAGAGCTCCTCCATTTTTTGTCTATTTAAATGACTATTTTGTTAAATTAAACAAATACCCAGGCAAAGAAATTAGATTTGATTTTCAACTGAATTCAGGGTTTTGATATTTCTATTAATATACAAATTGTTGCATTAGAGAGTAAATCTAACAAAATTAAAAGTTGTATGTTCCACTGGTCATTCATACAAAAATTCTCTCTCTCTCCGACTCTATGTGCCTCATATCATCGACTTTTTTTTACCCCCCAAAATCATATTATCCATTTATTTATTTTTCCTCAGCCCCCCCCCCCCCCACCCCCAATGCGTTGCAACTCAAAACCTAATTATTAATCAATAGAGATTGATCCAGACATCCGGGCAGTTGGTGCATGAGAAATGGATTTGATTGGCTTCTCAATTTCGAGGTTATAATCTATTGTTCCAAAGAACAAAGATAGGGCTATTTTCATTGGTCAGAAATCTTTCAAGGTGGATAGCGAAAGAACGAAACACAATCACATAAACACACACATTTTGTGTTTCTAAATAGAAAGATTAGCTGCGATGTGTTTTGTTTTACTTTATGGCGTTTTCTGGATTAAAACATATTCAGTAATTTGTGTCTAAAGTTGAATTCTTTCTAATACACCTTGATACGATTAGCCAATCAAATTCACGCTTTGAAAAACCACAACGCTATTCATACGATGCATGATGTTGAGGTTATAAGCGGTCTAACTGAACAAAACTATCCGCAAGATTTTTTGTTGAATTTTTTCAAAAAAAGACAGGTAATGTGCCTTATATATTAATTAATTTTATGTTATTTTGTTTCCTCAGTCACTTGTGTATTATTTTGAGTATATTTTTTTGTATTTGTCCCAAGTGACTGATCTCGTCCACTGTTATTACTTCGGCAGTTCATTTCACAAAAACTACGAACAGAAATGGCGTTCAAACAAAACTTTCCATGACAAGTTTGTAATTTTGGACTTATAGTGCCTTTGATATGTGTTTGCTATGTTAAAATATGACAATGGTAAGTAACATTAAAGCCCAATGTACGTTTGTTTTTATCTAGAAAAGAGTTGCACGTGCCATCACAAAAATTTCTGCCTCTCGAATTCCCCTCCCTTGGGCCCTTATGCTTTGTACATGACCGAAACATACTAATCAAACATTCTTTTCGATGGAAGAGGAGCTTGAATGATTATACTTGTTTATAGACTTTTAAGAGTATGTTGTTGAAAAGCATCACAGAGGTTGATATTTTTGTCATTTTTGAGATATATTTCATGCCTGAGTGATTTATGCAAGGGGCACCAACGGGGAAAGGAAATTGTAAAATACTTGAACGAGGAAAAACCCTTCTGACAAAAATAGAAATCCCCAGTAGATTTGGAATTTTTTTTGAGAAAAAGCACAATTTCAATATTTTGTCGTCGAATTGAATGTTATTCCTTCTATATTGTTTCCCACTAAACTGACAATATTTTTGTGCTGGATGTGATTTGTACATTCAATGTGATTATAATGTTTACTTGACTTACAACTTCATTAACCTGTACAGCCTATTTTCAAAATGTTATTGTGTAGAGAACTTCAGATTGAAAATTTTTAATTATATATGTATAAACCATGACATATTGATTATTTTTATGTTACATGATACATTAATGCCAGCAAATATTGATTCTACCTTTGAGTTTAACATCTTCACGGTGATGTAAATTTTACACAGAATCAAATATATTTTTGGCAGCAAACACTGTGATTTATTAATTCAACTGACAAAATATAACAATGCTGTCTTCAAATTCTGGAGAAATGAAGTATGTAAACCTTGAAATACTTATACTTACATAATTTCTAGAAATTTATTTAAATAAAAGTTTTCATTTAGTTGTATTTTATGATTATCAATATTATACATAAGGAGCAGATATATGTTCTTTTGGAGTGGGAGTTCTCCATGTCTTGAGTGAAATATTCAGTTGTTAGATAAATGTATCAGGGGTTGAAACTTTCCTGGAAAACCCACGAGCCCAGGGGCTACTGATCAGTAAAAAATTAGTTGCTCAAACCTCAGAATAACTTGCCCAAATTTTTTTCATGTAAAATGAAAACATAACAATTTAAATGAAAGTTTCAAACGCTGTGATGACAGAAACAAATTTAACTACAATGTAGTTCTCATTCAAAAGAAACCAGTCTACATAGAAAAGCGAAAGTAAAGTTATGAGAACTTTTTTTTCTGTACTGCTAGTCCGACGGACTATCATTACATTAAAATTAGCTAGCCCGAGTCTTAAAATGACTAGCCCTGGGTGTCTGGCTACCATATATTTCAACCTCTGATTTATGTACATTTCCATCTGTTTTTTTCTTTGATAACTCTTTGAAAGTTAAGTGTGTTAATTTCTAGATATTTACAACTGAATGTAACTTCACCAAGTGAAGGATCAAGTGCCTAATATGCATGTCAATTTTCCTGGATGTCATTGTGTCTGAACGTCAGTGGGCAGGCACTTTTGAAATTAACATGCAAGGCTTTGTGTATTTCTTTTTATTTATATTTACATTTTTATTTCACATATAAATGTGAACATAAGGAATCATCTAATTTGTTGGGTATGCCAAGGACATTATCGACAGTTGGTAAAGTGGGATAATTTATGCGTAATGGGCTTTGCATACATATCCTATGTTTCGAACTGTTGTTAATGCCCCAGCATACCCAATAAACAAGACAATGATTCCTTAAATAATCCAATGTGAGAAGCATGCAGTGAAAATCGGTATTAATTTTCAGGTTCAGGAGAGTCTACAAATTGACAAAAACAGTGAATAAATCAAGTTGTGGTTTGTTAGGGTAGATTATTATGCATTTTCCTTTCATGTAAATTTTACATTCAGGTTAATTGACTGAACTTACAGAAAATAAGGATATTTTTTTATATCTTTCCACAAGATCTTTGTATCAGCATGCATTAGCATTGTTATGTAAGTAATACACAGACTTTGGTGGACTGATTATTATTAATAATATCATTATTACACCCTTATTAGTGTTAATGTGATTAACATTTCTGGTTACCATATTTGTGGATTTTTCATGACAGTATATAATGTTCAAAGCATCACTGTTACAGACATCAACATCACGTTATGCACCTGCCGTAACCATGGGTATGCTATAAAACATTTAATTTAAACATGTTTTTATTTTGTAGACATTCATCATGCTTACGAAAATGACATCCATTAGATGAATCAAAAATGGACCGCATGCCTCTCCATAAGGTAGTTTGTACCAAAGTTTAACATAAAAAAGACAGGCCATGGCCGATGACCCCATGCTGAGTTTGTTTGACACAGATGGTGGGAGCTTTCTGGATGACCTGACTGGTCCTGGAGGAGGACAGAGTATGGACAGTAATTTCATGGGACAAGGAATGACAGGTGACCAAATGCTTCAACAATCACAGGGGTATGGTGTTCAGATGTCCGACATGTCAGGGAATCAGTTCAATCCTTACCAACAGGCCAGTCCTGCTCCTGAACAGTATACAAATGACAGCTTCAACCAATTTAATGCCAGTCAGAAGTTACAGCAAATGAATATGAACACATCTCACAGTGGCATGCCTTCTTCTCAGCCGATGATGAGCCCATATAGACAACAGCAGTTCAGACCTACTCAACCCAACATGGGCCGACCAGGTCCAAACATGGGTGGGTATGGGAGTTATGGGGCACAGCAAGCTGGACCTCGTTTACCAAACCCTCAGCAGCACATGCCAGTTCAACAGAATATGCCCCAGTGGAATCCTGGTCAGTCTAGTCCTAGTCGCCCTCATTACATACCCCAGTCTCAAAATATGATGCAGTCCCAAATGATGCCCACATCACAAAGCATGCAGACTAAGTATCTCTCTCATCGTGACTTTCCACAAATGCCATCCTCCAATGCTTCAGATTTCTTTCAGAGCAGCCCTGTTACTTCAACTCCTTTTCAACAGTTTCAAGGTAACTCATCTTCTAATCAGCAAAACGTGTACATTCAGAATGTGGGACAAAGAAATCAAATGCCCTCCGTGCCAATATCAAGCCCTAATAACACCATGGGACACATGCAGAGTACCATGCAGTCCATGGGTCCTCAGCAGTCACAGCTACCCATGCAAAATCAACCAACATTCCAAATGCAGAACATGGGAATGCAAAGATTTAATAACCCTTCTCAATCAGTACCTCAGCAACATGGTATACCATATCAGGGCAGTTTTCCACAACAACAACAATCTATGAATAATGTTCCAACAAGTAGTTATCAAAGGTTTACATATGCTCAGATGCCAAGCAATACACCCAATAAACAGGGAGAAACAGGAGCACAGTTCAATACTAGTCCCAACCAGAACTATCGCCCTTACCCAGGCATGCCTTCACAAAGGGCAACAACCCCCTCACCCCATCCTCCAACTACCCCTGAGCATCCTTCCACCCCTCAAGTCAACCCCAGGACACCAGCTCCTATTCAGCAGATGGAGCAACTTGTATCTCCACCTGGACCACGTTCAAATGCCTCCACACCAGTGTCTAGTCCATTCCATCAACCACCTGTAGGAAATAATGGGCCAAACTTCCAACCCTCAAATGATATTCAAGTAGCAACTTCTCACCCAAATTCCAATGGCATAGGGCCCATTAGTCCAAATGTCAAGAATGCAGGGAATGTTAGAGTGACCATGACTAATACTGAACGAGAGATACAATACCTACAGCAGCAGCTAAGTCAGCTGCAAGCAGCTGGACAGACACAGCAAACTCAACAGAAAATGCTAGAAGTGCAGGAAAAAATCCGTTCTCTCCGTGCTTCTCAAGAAATACAGAGACAGAAAGCCCATACGAGTCAGCAGAGTGGGTATTCAACAAATGGGCCAATTCAACCACAGAGACAGCAACCATCTCAAATCCCAACCAGTGTTGCTTCAGGTAGCCATGATGGCATGCAGGCAAAACCTCAGGTTTCTGTGCAACAACAGCAAACCATCCAACAAGCACAAACGTCAGTGCAACCACAACCCACAATGCAGCCCCAAGCTTCAATGCAACAGCCCACATTGCAACAGCAACAACCCCAAATCCAACAGACACAGCCTGTCATGCAACAACCACAGCCCAATGTTCAGCAGCAGCAACCTGCTAGTCAGCAACCTTCCTCAAACCCCCAACAAGTGTTTCAGATGGGACAGCCAATGTATGTCAATCAGCCTCAACCCCCACAAAATGTCCTTTTAGTGACTTCAAATCAACAGCGGTTGTTGCAACCACAGATGCAGCAACAGATGCCAAATGCTGTGATGAATTCCCCACAGAAGATTCAAGTCATTCTACAGGTTTGTTTAAGTTTGAAGTTTCTTAAAATATTTTTTTTTAAATTAGAAAAAAAAAATTTATTGAAACAAATGAAAGAGCACTTATTTGATTATTTTTCCTCTTTTAGCCACAGGGAAACCAGGCTGCTCCTCAGATGATCAGTCCTCAAGTGCCTCAGTCAGTGAACAATCTACCTCATGCTATACCTTCCAACGTGGCTCAAGTCATGGCCCCTATGCCAGCTGTAGGGGCACAGCAGGGAAACATTCCATCAAGTGTTGTGCAACTTCAGATGGGTGGTGTTACTCAGCCTGCACCCCAGCTTATCCAACCACCACCAGGCACAACTTTTCCTCCATTACAAGACTTTGGTAGTGAAAATAAGATTGGAAGTACTGAAAAACCAAAGAAGGCCAAGAAAGCCAAAAAACAACAAGAAAAAGCAGACAAGATTGTAGCAGAAGCTGTGGCTCGAGCTCAGGCAGAGGGTAGGGAGGTACCCAAGCTGATGTCTGGAGATATTCCGGCAACTGTTAACGATGTCCAAAACGCGGATGAGGAAGATTCTAAGAAAAAGAAAAAACGTGTTCGAAAACCAAAGACTCCCAAAAAAGAGAAGAAAGAGGGAGATTTAAGTAGTGGTGAAATGACTCAAGAGTTGGAAAGTCAAGGAGAATCCACCATGGATGGTGAAAAGGTTGAGAAGAAAAAGAAACCAAAAGCAAAACCTCCTGTTAAAAAGAAGAAAAAGTAAGTGTCACATGAGGAAATTAATTTTGAAAGTTTCGTAAAAAGAAAATTTTCTGTGGACAGTGGAACTGAATTAATTAATGTTATTTCCTTATTTAAGACCACCTGCTACATTTTTGAAAAAGAAGAAGAGGAAACGTCATGAGTCATCTGAATCAGATTCTGAATTGAAGCATGCTGTGGCAGAAACAGAGGAAATAGATGATGACCTTATTCAGGTAAGTAATTGTTTCAGTCTTTTGTCTACAGTATTTATTTTGAGGTAAGGTACATGCGAATGTTGTTTTTTTTTATGAATAACAGAAATATGTTGCATTCTTAGTAGTATCTGTGATGGAAGATTTTCTATTGATATGATTTCATCAAATCAAATTTTCATAATTGCAATTTTTGGAATTCCTTTTGAATTCTAATGCCAAAGAGATGGAATATTATCAGATTTTTATCTATGATATTTACTTTTAATGTCAAAGAACTTCAACAAGTGAAAAACTGCAGAAATTACCAGTTAAACAGTCTTGCTGGTGTAACCTAATAAATAAAACTTTCTGTTGAAAACGTCCTAACATCAACTTTCATTTGACATATCAGAATTGTATTTTTTTTTAATTTTCCAGAAACGTCGCTCTGCTCGTAATACAAAAAGAAAGAAGTACTTGGATGATGTGGATTTGAATCTGTCAGATGATGATACTCGAGATGTGGAACCTGAAGCATTAGCTGACACACCAGCAGCAGTCAAAATTGTAGGTTATGCATATTGGTGAAAGTTATATTGTAGAATCTGTGAAATACATTAATATATTTTTGTGGAATACTGTTAAGCATTTGAGATATTTTTGTTTTAGGACAATGTTGAGGAGGATAACAGCCTAATTGTGGACAAAATCTTGGGAAGTAGAACAAGGAAAATGGACAAAGATGTAAGTTAAGGTCAAGATCTAGTAAATGACTTTAGACCAACTTTTTGGTGTTATCTCCATTATGACGTCAAAATCAATTTCAACTTTCTTTTTCCCGTACTTTGCGGCTCTGATAGAATTATGTAGAAAATAAAGTATTTTCATGGAATTCAGTTTGAAATCATGTGAAAAATAATCCCGATACCTGTACTCAATTTCATATTATCTTAAAGTAGAGGCCAAGAACATACAAATTACCATTTTCTGAGAGACTGTAGGCAATCTGGATATATTTTCTTTGTCTGATATGGAAAAAAACTCCCATTTTCATGACTGGTTTTCTTAATTTTTCATTGAAAATGACAGTTTAAAATATGACTTTTTGTCTTGTTTAGCTACAAATTATACCCTGAAACACCTTATTTGACCAAGCTAAAGTTATAAAGCATCATTAAAGGAATTTATTTCTCATATTTGAGAAATATGAAGGCACCTTTCATTTACTAGATCTTGACCTTAATGCTACTGTAACATAACTTACTAAATAGGACGATGGTTATATTGACCTAAGTATCTCATTCCACTGTTGAAATCATTATTTAACTCTGACTGCATGTTAATATTGCTTTCCAGATTGACGTGGACGGGGAAAACGACCAAGCTGCTACAAGTGAGGAGGAGGTGGAGGAGTTCTTCGTTAAATACAAAAACTTGTAAGTTGAAGCTAACAATCATTTGTTGAATATGCTTAACACTGCATTTTTTGTCATGTGCATGCTGATGAATTTGTGCTTACCAAGCAAAAAAATGTTTTCCAGCTCTTATTTGCATTGTGAGTGGAAAACTGCAGAGGAATTAGAGAAGGGAGATAAACGCATCCATCAGAAAATCAAGCGTTTCTTTATGAAGAAATCTCAGAACCAGAATATGTTCTCAGAGGTAATGTCACAACTTATCTTGCCAGAGCATAAAAATAAAATTTGCAATAATTTAGTCTATATCAGACAAGATTCACAAGGTACTGTCTTGTAGTCAAGATTCTGATGAATACAATGAAATATATTAATCTTCTCTGTTTTAGTTGGATGAGGATGAACTCTTTAATCCTGACTATACTGAGGTACACCGAGTCTTGGATGTGTCCACCATAAGTGATCCCAATGGTGGGGACGACATTACTCACTTCCTGGTCAAATGGCGGGGACTGCCATATGAAGATGCAACATGGGAATTACAACAGGATGTTGACCCTCTTAAAGTGGAGCAGTTCTACAAGTTCAGGGAACCACCAGAAGATGATGAGGTTGTGATCAAATTGGTTTATACATCAGTAAATGTAAAACATGATTGAGAATGATATTGAAAGATGAAATATATGAAACGTTGGAGTATGAAGAGTGAACGCATTGTTTGAATTAGTTTTTCATCATTATGATGAATGTAACCCATGCTTTTACTGCATATATACTATCAACATTTTATGATTAATTCGTAGGTAAAACCCCGTGGAACACCGGAGGAATGGGTGAAACTGGAAGCCTCAAGAGAGTATAAAAATGGGAACTCGTTGAGAGACTACCAGTTAGAAGGAGTGAATTGGCTGATGTTCAGTTGGCACAACCACCAGAATTGTATTCTTGCTGATGAAATGGGTCTGGGGAAAACCATTCAGAGTATCACCTTCCTCAATGAAATCATGTTGTATGGAATTAAGGGGCCATTCCTTGTGGTTGTCCCTCTTTCCACCCTTGGAAACTGGGAAAGAGAGTTTGAAACCTGGACAGATATTAATGCCATTGTGTATCATGGAAGGTATGTGGTAATGACTTTGAATTTTATGTTGATGTATAAAGTCATTGTACAAAGGAAAACTTCTTTGAAAATCAGACTTCTATTATTTTTGAGCTGAAAAGATTTGGGAACAATACTACATATATTGTAAGTCAGATTGAGTATATTTTCTTTTACACACTCTTCAATATCTTTTGTGCAGTTCTACAAGTCGAAACATGCTACAGGCCTATGAAATGTTTTACAAAGATGAGAAAGGACAACGAATTCCGAACATTTTTAAATTCCATGCTCTGATTACTACTTACGAAGTGATTATTTCTGATTGTGAGTTGCTGAGTGACATTGAATGGAGAGTCCTCATTATTGATGAAGCTCATAGATTGAAAAATGCCAAATGTAAACTAATGGAGGGATTAAAAATGTTTGATTGTGTAAGTACTGTCATTCGTTTCAAAATACTGTAACTCTGTAATGAGTCAATGTTTCTTTTCTCTCTTTTTTGCATTAAATAAATTTTTTGAGAGGACAGTTTTTTTTAAAAAATGAGATATCATTCATTGGCTACTATTCTTCTCAGGCCCTGTTTGTTCCATGTCTTTTTAAGGAAGAAAATATGAATTCACAATGAAAGTCATGTTCCCAATATTTTGAATGTGTGTACTGCAGTAAATTCCTACTTGCTGAATATTTATTCGATGATACCTTTGAGAGATGTTCTAGATTAGTACAGTAGATGGTACTGCTGATTTTGCTAGATGTCGCCCTATTGTTACTAATGACTAATCACAGTGTATTATTCTCACACAGGCTATCCTGAAGTACAAGTACTTGTCTATTATAGGTATCTTCAGCATTATCTTCTTGTTAATTATCCTCTTTATTGATTGCAGGAACACCATGTCCTTCTGTCAGGAACACCTTTACAGAATAACACTGAGGAGCTGCACAGTTTACTCAGCTTTCTGGAACCAGAGAGATTCAAGTCAACCCAAGCCTTCATGGCAGAATTTGGGGATCTTAAGACAGATGCTCAAGTGGAGAAGTTAAAAGCTGTAAGTCTATCCAACAAAATACTGTATCATAAATATTGTAATCTTTATATCATACCAATTATGTACATGTAAATATTAAAAGTTTTAGAAAATAAATATGGGGAAATTTACAGATCTTAAAGCCAATGATGTTGAGAAGATTGAAAGAAGATGTGGAAAAGAATCTAGCTGCCAAAGAAGAAACCATAGTGGAGGTAAAGAATTCATTCATACAGTAAAAGTAGACATTTTCTTTTCATTTCAAATACATCTTTGCTGAAAATTAAAATTTTTCTGATTCATGACAAATACATGTATGACAGATTTAGAGTAAACAACTTATGGTTTAAAGTATGAAAGACACTTCTCACTCTGTGATGGATTTTATTGTTCCTCCCTGTCTGTTAGCTTTTAAAGTGTTAAGGTATAAAAGATACAGACATTATTTAGGTCAAGTCAGATAAAAAGTTTAGAGGTCAGGTGGGCATTGTGTTTCGGAAAAAGTTTTTTCTTTGAAAGAAATATATAATGTACATAAATTATAATGAAAGCTGTTTGATTTATATAGGTTGAATTGACGAACATTCAGAAGAAATATTATCGAGCCATTTTGGAACGCAACTTCACATTTTTGTCTAAAGGCACAGGTTCATCGGCTAATGTACCAAATCTGCTTAATACCATGATGGAGTTGCGAAAATGTTGCAATCACCCCTATCTTATCAAAGGTAAGCAAAGGCAGTGTGATTTATTGTCAGAGGATATCGATATGACAGTTAGATTTTATAAGTACATATGTGTATATGTACAAGGGTGTGTATAAGTTTGGATGCTTGTAGTTCATCTCCAAGTAAATGTGCACTTACATGACATAGATTAAACATTGTTATGGGTTTTTTTTTTCCTTATTGACTAGGTGCTGAAGACAAGATTTTGAGTGAGAGCAAAGAAACCAAAGGAAATGATGCTGAATCTGTGTTCCATACCATGGTGCAGTCATGTGGTAAAATGGTGCTACTTGACAAACTTCTCCCCAAACTGAAGCAGGGAGGACACAAAGTCTTGATCTTCTCTCAGATGATTCGAGTTTTAGACATCTTGGAGGATTATCTCATACATAAGCAGTATGTCTTTTCTTCCAGCTTTACTTAATTGAATATCTCTGTAGATGATGACAATTTCAAGCCAACTCATACATGCATTGAATTTGTTGCATGTTTGATGATCATGGTGAAACTGATGCAGATTCTACAATTTATGTCTTTAGTAACATTTGTTACCTATGCTTCATGTAAGTCTACTGGTATACTTGTATGAAGGATTTCTCTATCAAAATAAAATAGCAGAATGTTGATTGTGTATTTGCTTGTCATCAGGTACTTGTTTGAGCGTCTTGATGGAAGGATTTGTGGAAAGCTGCGACAAGAGGCCATAGACAGGTTCTCTAAGCCTGAGTCGGATCGGTTTGTCTTCCTATTGTGTACCAGAGCTGGTGGTTTGGGAATAAATCTTACAGCTGCTGACACAGTCATTATATACGACTCGGACTGGAATCCTCAGAATGATCTCCAGGTAAGCTTTGGAATGTCCAAAGTCACAAACCTTACAAAATAATATATGAAGATGTACATGTACCTGTGGTTCAGGACTTGCAATTCTTGTAAATCTGAAACCTTCAGCATTTAGATTATGTAAATGATTTTATTGATTTACATATTGTTTTTCATAGGCTCAAGCCCGTTGTCACAGAATAGGACAAACAAAAGAGGTCAAAGTTTACCGTCTTGTGACAAGAAACTCATATGAGCGAGAAATGTTTGACAAGGCTTCTCTGAAGCTGGGTCTGGACAAAGCTGTCTTGCAGTCCATGGGTTCAGATAAAGCAGCACCTGTAAGTTGGGGGACAAAGGAAGTTGGGGGGAGATGGAAATTTTCAAACAAATGATGAAATCTCAAGCCAACTCAGACATTAGCTCAAAAGCTAAATGGGTGTTGACTTTGGTGAAACTGATGGCAAACATGCTTTTAAAATCCCTTATTTTAAAGTTGAATTCATGTACTTAGGCTCTAAAGTACATGTACAAGTATTTGGATTTTGATAAAATAAAAGCCTTTTATTTCAGTTGATTTCTTAATACTTGAGTTTCTTGTATCAAATTAATTTAACCTATTGATGCCGATTCTTTAAAACTAATTCTGGATACAGATTTATTTGAAATTTCAAAATTCATTAGAATTATTAAATTTGATAGTCAAATATAATTAACAATACTACACTTTATAGATACCATTCATGGATAATGGAGATTCAAATCAATTAGGTACCCAAAGGGCGTTAAGTAAGATTAGTTGGAGTATGAGCTGAAAAGTTTCATGAACACATCTTGTCCTATTTTATAGCAAGCTCAGATGTCTAAGAAGGAAATTGAGGAGCTGTTACGTAAAGGAGCTTATGGAGCTCTGATGGATGATGATAAGGCTGGGGATGAATTCTGCGAAGAGGACATTGACCAAATCCTCCAGCGTCGTACTCAGGTTATCCAGATCGAATCTGAAGGAAAGGGATCAACTTTTGCCAAGGTATTCATTTCAGAATAATGAATCATGGATAACTATGCTTATATTCATGAAAATTTCATGAAACACATTTACATAGTTTGGCAGGGCATCAATGCAGTTGAATATCTTTTTATCATACAGGCAAGTTTCTCAATGTCTGGCACCAGAACGGATATTGACATCAATGATCCAAATTTCTGGCAGAAGTGGGCCAAAAAAGCAGATGTAGATGTGGAGGGAATGAAACATAAGGTACGTAGATGTTTCACTCGTTTACATGTACTCCTATACAATTGTCACTTGTCACTTTATTGCAGACAAAACAAAATGTGTTATAACGAAAATGGAGATATATGAAATTTCTAATATACAATATAAATGAAAATCTTTTCTGCAGAATGAGTTGATTATACAAGAGCCAAGACAGAGAAAGCAAACAACTAGATATGGGAATGACGACAATATGATGGAAATGTCTGACCTAGACTCGTCTAGTAACAGTGATGATGATGACGATGAGTCAAGAAAAACCAGAAGTGGGATGAAGAAGCGAGGACGACCAGGCAGAAAAAGACGGGGCTCCGATGATGATTATGATGCTGATGATGCTGAGGGCTATGGGAGGTCTGATTGCTTCAAAGTGGAGAAAAACCTTCTTGTCTATGGGTGAGCCATGTTAAGTTATCAAAAAAGAAATATAGTGATGAGTGAAGTGTTCTTAAAAGTTATCACAGGCATTATTCTCATATGACTCTGAATCAATCAATGGCTCTTGGTTAACATGGAAGAATTTTCTGTTTAAAGGTGGGGTAGATGGAAGGACATCCTGTCCCATGGAAAGTTTAAGAAAATGTTGGTGGAGAAGGATGTGGAGAATATTTCTAGAGCACTGGTAAAAAGGATTAAAAAGAAATGGAAATCTGCTTACACTGATAGTTAAAAAAAGTGAGTTTTAATTGTTTAGAAAGAGATCAATAATTGAAAAATTATTCCTTTTGCAGCTTATTTATTCCCTGCAACAGTACAAGGGAGATGAGAAGATTAAGGAATTTATATGGGACCTGATCTCACCTTCAAGTGATGGATCCCTGAAAAACCACTCAGGTGAGTTCCCTGGTGGACTTGCTGAAGATATCTTAACATATAATCATGTTACATACATCTTGAATAAAACATTCTGTGGTATTTTGACTGTAGATATGGTAATGGCAGATACTAGTGGACTTTGACAAACTTTGATATGGGTTTAAGAAGTATGCACAAAGGATTATGATTTCAGCTATTAATGGTATTTCTTGTTAATGACAGGCTTGTCTGCTCCTGTTCCCCGAGGAAGGAAAGGCAAAAACAAAAAGAAAGAGGGGAAAGTAGAGAGTGGTGGTAGTGAACTTTTCAAGTACAACAAAATGAAAAACTGTGATCCAGAAATAGTGCTACGAGACCCAGGCTACCGCAAGCATCTACACAGACATGCTAACAAGTAAGATTTCACACCACAGACATCTACACAGGCAAGATTTCATACCATAAACATATACACAGACATGCTAACAAGTAAGATTTCACACTACAAACAATTCAATTTTACTCTCTTCTTTTCAGAGTGCTACTAAGGGTTAGGTTATTGTACTATCTGAAAGAAGAAATCATTGGACCTGAAGCAGCTGAAAAAGTTACTCAGGGATTAAATGCAAGGTAATGTGCAGTGTAGTTGAAAAGTAGTGAAAGAATTCAGAAGTTAATGCTTTTAAAAATAATAATTTTAAGTAAATTACATGAAAATTACAATGCAGATGCACATGCTTACTCAATGTTTATACTATGGCGCATGTTTGTTTCAGTGATATTGAAATTCCCCAGGCCGAGCCTGATGGAGACCCTCCCACTGCCTGGTGGGATGAGGAGGCAGACAAGTCCCTCCTTATAGGAGTTTATAAACATGGTAAGGATAAGCTTCAGAAATTTAATGCAGACATAAAGACTTGATGATGTATTAGTCCTTTAAGCATTGCTAGCTTTCCTCCTGAAACTGAAACCAAAATTTTGATACTTTTTAGATTAGCATACCATTTGATTATACAGTTTTATGTATAACTTTCAGGCTATGAGAAATACAACATGATGAGACAGGATCCTGCATTGATATTCTTGGGCAAATGTGGACCACCAGATGGAGCCGCATTAGCAGCTGAACAAAATGATGATGACGAGTAAGTGATTTGTTCTTAGGTTGTGTCAAGAACTGATGAATTGTACTACATGTACGTGTATATTATTTCCTATTGAAATTGTAATAAATTACTACATATGTACATGTACAATGTATTATTGAATGAGTTTTACTATTTGATGATGAATCTGAAGTTGAACTGATGATGACTTGCCATGCTAATACAGAGGGCATACATTGACCAGATGTGCTGGTTGTATGTTGCTGTGAGTGGAAAATAGCACAAACTGACAGAGTTCTTGTATAAAAATCAGGTCTCCATTGTGTTCTGGAGTGGTTTTAGTAGAAAGAAGTTAAACTGTAGAGGAAGTTTGACTTGTTTTACAGTGACGATTTAGATGAGTCCAAAATCAAGCAGGATGATGATGAAGATGTGTCAATGAGCTCGATACCCGAGTCCAGCAAAAAAGCTACTCCAACTAATGCCCCACCCACTGAAAAGTTGGAAGGTGGAGAGGGTATGGAGGAAGACAAGCTGCCCTTCCCATCATCCTCAGATCTTAACACAAGACTACGAAGAATCATCACTGGATTCCAACGCAACCACAAGAGGATGCTGATTAAAAATGCCCAGAAAGTCAAGGTAATCATAAGCAGTGGTGTAAAATATTTAAGAGGAATTACTTATAACACTAAGTGTACTTTTTGACTTGTGTCAGCTGAAATAAAAGAATGTTTTATTGTACAGTATAATTGATGATTGTTGATGATTTTAAGAATCGGTAAAAAGTGTTCCATTTTATTTTGTAGCATAGTCTACATGTGTACAACACATTTTAATACCTATGCAACTTTCCATTGTGCTTAAATTCGGATGCAGTTGAATAACTTGTCTTTCTGTGTCTTTTCAGAGAATGGAGCGCCGTGAAAGGTTTGAAGCAGTGCTTAAGGAGCGTGAGAGCCAGAGAATGCAGTATCAACAATGGTCTGTACCAGACCCCTATGGTCTATCCCTCCAACAGTAAGCCCATTATTTCACTAGGCTACAGCTTCATGTGTTGCCTGTGTTGTCATCCCCTCCCTGTAGTGATGCACATGTATTAGAAAGTCTTGTGCTACTGTCAATGCATCTGATGAATGATGTGCAGATTGAATACTGAAGTCTATCAGGGTTTGGGGTTTATGTGGGGGGAAAGTTCAGATCATGAGCAACTAACATTGAATATGCAGGCTATGATACCTATTAAATATATGTGAGAATTCAACCTCTCATTTGTAGAAGGATGAAATATTTGTATTCAATTTACATGTAAACCAGAGGAGATTGCATGCATAAATATATAAACCTAGGCATGGTGAAGGTTTGCGTATTTGTTGTCATACATTTACATGTATATACAATGTACCTGGTAATTTTTATAGATCTAGACCTGCTTAATTTAATCAGAATATTGATATTGCTTTCATTATAGTGTCAGTAATTGCATGAATATTATACATGTACATCAGTTTGAATGGATATTTAGCTTATCTGATTGAAAGACACAACTCAGGTGAGCCCTTATGATCAAAGAGTGGCTGTTTGGCCTCTGTTGTGTGTTGTCTGTACACTTAACATTTTCAACTTATTTTTTGAGCCAATTTCAAATTTGATAGAAGGCAACCTTAGGTGAAGGTCAGATACCATGCTTTCTTCTAACTGGAAAAGTAGATAAGGAGAAAGTGATGAAATTTGATAGAGTCATTTAAATTCTCAAGAACAGTGGGGTTTATTATGATTATTGGGTATGTCTTGACTCTTTGGACAAGGTTATTTAGACAAGGTCATAAGGTTCCATTGTGAGAGTTCTAACTATGGACTATTTTGATATAATTTTACACAATTTTTCTATATGAGTGGGTCCTCTCCATTTCATTCTACTTCATTCTAAATATGAATTAAAATTAAAAATTTTTTGTTAACTAAATCATAGAGGGGACACACAATACTTTAAAAATACAATTTTATGAAAAGATTTTTGTATCTTTCATGAAGTATTTCACGACCAGTTATTGGAGCGTCATATCAAAAACAAAAGTGAATGCAATTTCTCATGAGTTGCATAGCTTAGTGGTTAAAGAGTTGACCTGACCAACAAAACTTAATGATCAGGGTTATACAAACTGTTGAAGCCAATCTACCTTTCCCAAGGAATCCAGAAAATATCAGGGGGTACCACCTGTAGAATTTTTTTTTCCTTGAAAAAGCAAGCATTAAAATTAGTATTTTCATACAGGGTGTGCCTACAATCAGATATAAATACATCAAAATATCAAATGTTTTTAATTTGTAAATTTGATATGAAGTGTTTAAATATTCTGTACCTTGAAATTTTTTAGACCATGGACTTTATGCACATTTTCAGAGTTTAATTAATTGTCAGGAGAGCGTTGTGGCCCTTGGGCCTATTGTTGTGTATTGAATTGCTGTTCAAGTGTAAACCTGTCTGTTGTTTAGCTTGTCAGAGAGTACAAGGTAAGATTTTCTACAAAAAAAAATTCTTTTCTTAAATAAACACATGTAAATGTGAAATTTTGCTGCGCTGAATGTCTCAGCATTGGTGATGATGACAACATCTAGCTTGTGCATGTTAGTGGGCTTGCTGTAGAGGGTGAATGATTTCCTTTTTTTTGTAATTTTATTTTTTCTGCTAAATGTCAGACTTTTTTTTTTTTTTTTTACATCTTCTGCCTATCTTTCAGTAATAGGATGGCATGAAGCTTGTTTACAAGTGTGATGTCTTGTTTCAACTCTGTGTTATTAGAAGATAAATGATTTAATAGATTGCTTTAGAGAGAAAAGTAAAATATAAGCACTAAAACAAAATTCACTGTATACTGTATTTCTTTCTCTACACTAAGATATAAAACTTTCTTGCATTTGATTCATCTGTCTCAGAATTTTTATCTGCTTTGAATTTGTTTGGATTGGAAAAGGCTGTATTAACTTGAAGGGAATCTGCTTTGGGTGCAGTTGCTTTTGCATGCTAATGAAACTTTTTTCTCTCTGAATATACAGCCGCTGGTCCAGACGCGAGGAACAGGATTTCTACAGGGTCATTTCCAGCTTTGGCGTGGAGTTTGACCTTGTTACTGGACGCTATAAATGGGATCGATTCCGACAGCTGGCACACCTAGAAAAGAAGTTTGATGACACTCTAACAGAGTATTTCCAAGCATTTTACCACATGTGTATGAGGGTGTGCAAGAAGTTTAAAAATGATGACGATGGTAAGTAGGAAGATAAACAATTTTGGAAGTTAATTGATTTTTTTCTTGGAAATTGATATGGAGAGAAACTCGTGTAAACAAAAGCTGATAAAAATTTGTACTAAAAAGATTGCTAATATAGTTTATTTGAGTAGTTTAAAAGTTCTGTAGATGAATTGGAAATGCATATTTTTTCAGCCTCACTTGACATTTAAAAACTGGTTTTGATTTACAATTTTGGCACAGATATGTGAAAGAAAATATATTGATATACATGTAATACATGAGTCCTGAGTAATGTTAATTGCTAATTATACCAAATACCAGTAGTCCATTCAATTGTTATATAATTGTGCTAAAATAGATACCTGTATTGTACCCGGCATAATTCTTGAACTGTATTTCAGCTCTTCCACCAAATAATATCTACGTTGATCCCATCACTGAAGAAAGAGCCAGTCGCTGTTTGGCTCGGATCGACATGCTGAACAAAATCCGCACAGAGACTTTGAACCATCCAAAGTTGGATGAGAGAGTGAAACTTTGTCAGCCATCATATGACTTGCCACCCTGGTGGATTTGTGGTCAGCATGACAAAGATCTCCTAATTGGAGCAGCAAGGTATACATTGTATTATACATATTCTGTATCAGATTCTGTGGTATTATTAAAGAAGGAATAATATATTCAGAAGAGGGAGGAGTAGGATTTCTGCAATTGCAAAGTAACGTAAATTTTATGTATGAAACCCCTTTTCTTTAAGCAACTTTAAAAAAAACAGCTTGAGAAACGTCTCTTAATGGTATATGAATTATGTGTTACATTTTACAATGTAGAGTAAATGTTTTGCACTTCCTTTCAGACATGGTGTTGTTAGGACAGACTATCATATCTTGTTTGATCCAACTTTGTCGTTTATTGATGTCCTTAAGAATAAACAAACAGCTAGTCATTCCAGCTCTCCCTTGCCAACCAAAGGTAAGAGTGATGTCCCCTTGCTGAAGGATTTTGGAAAATGTGTAACGATTGTTGGATTTAATTTTCATACAGTATAGATGTCTTAATTGGTTCTCGGTACATGAAAGTTTAAAACTTGCATTGCAGAATGACATGTTATATATTTATGTACTTTAAAGCAAAAATAAACTTTAAAAAATATTTTCATATTAATTTGTAAAACAATTGATGACTTGTATCTTTTAGATAAAGATGTTAAACATGAAGATGGAGAAGAGAAATCTGTTAAGAAAGAAAAGGAAGTAAAAGAGAAAGTAAAAGAAGAAATCAAGGAAGAAACAGGTGCTTCAAAATCTGAGAATGACATAATTAAATCTGAACAGTCACCAAAGAAAGAAAATGTTACTTTGAGTGAGGATAAAGACCTAACAACAGAGGGAGACAAGTCTCTGGGAAATGAGGAAGAAAAATCAAGTGAGAGAATTAAAGAAGTAAATGGGGAGACTGAGATGGATGTTTCCATTGTAACATCTGAACATTCACCAAATAAGTCTAGTGAAAAATCCCCAAGTAAATCTAGTGAAATGTCACCAAGTAAAACAAGTGATAAATCACCTGTAAAGACAGAGGATGGAGAGACAGCTATTAAAATGGAAGTGGAAGATTTCTCAGTAAAGAAAGAAACTCCTGACTCACCGGTCAAGAAGGAGGTGGAGGATTCATCTGAAAGGAAGGATGGTGAACAGGTGAAGAAGGAAGAGGAGGAAGCTATTGTGAAGAAGGAGTTATCTGAGTTAGTGAAGGAAGATGTTCCCCAAGACTTGACCTCTATAAAAGAAAAGGTCAAAGGTGAAAAATGTGATAAAGTGGTGAAAGAAGAAGAAAGAATCAAAAATGTGGACGAAACAGAACAGAAGGTTAGGGATATTGTGAAGGACATCAAAAGACAGACAACAGAGGAAATGGCCAAGTTAGAAAGACGGAGGGAAAAAGATACCAAATGTTCATATGAGGAGGAGGTATGATTATTTCAAATTTATGTTCAATATCATTAATGAAAGTAAGGAATAGAATGGAAAAAAATATTTTCAAAAAATTGAATTTCTGAGAAAATTGTACTTCAATAATTTTTACTTCATTTCTAAAGGTTTGTTTTTCTTCTTATGACATGTATAAGTCATAATTGTTTAAATGCTAAAGAGTTTGGTTTTTGCAGGAGCTGCAGAAATTTTTGGCAAGAAGAGAAGAGATGGAGGCAGAGGGGATGGTAGCAGATTACTTACCTGAAAGTCAACTAAGTGCTGCCATCAGCTGGCCAAAGGTATAGTGCATCAGAACAAAAGGAATTACACTGAACTAAAAAATGAATGATTTAACTGTTTGTTTCTGCTTTGATATAATTAATTTTATTGCATATTCAATTTGAAAGTAATTCCTTTGAATAGAATAATTTGTTTTTATATCGATTTGATTTATAAAAAGGTATTTATATTATGCCACATGCTTATATTTTAGGACCGAGTATTATTTCATCGACTGGAGCATATTTGCTACTGTGTAGAACACAACGAATGGCCATTCCCGAAAAGAATGTCCTACATCCCCATGAACTATGACTCGCGGAGTGGAACACCAGTAGGATCCATGACTCCTAAGGACGACCCCGATCTCAGCCAATCAGATGCCGGGGATTCGGTTTATGATGGTGTCAAGGTGATGTCAGATTTAGATAAGGACTTTGAAGTTATGATATCTGAGGTAGGACACCCATTGATTTGTAATGGGCTGTTGTGTTTTCTGCTGATTGCTTGGTGAAGAATTTGGTCATTTCCAGACAAACAGTTTGAATAGTGATGGCAAGGGTTTTGTTTTACAATGTGGTAAAATGTCAGGGAGAGGGTTTTTTTTTTTTTCAAGTTTTCATTGAGAGATTGCGCTTGATAAATAGAGGAGATTCATAAGTTTTTCACTTTCCTATAGGGTGATGGTGGTGGTAAGCAACAAATGCAATGAAGTGTTCTGTATTGAAGAGTTGTTTGTGAATTACATATTGTCTGGGATATAGCATTTGGAGTGTAGTGTTCAGTGGAATCCTGTCCTGTGAGATTTTTTTTAGGACTTATTAGACATTTTCCCATTGTGCAAGTTGTAAACAAAACCATCTTTTTTTTCCAGGGTGATGGATTGAAGATGACCTTCCACAAGAGAAGAGGACAAGGTCGTAAATATGAATTTGAAGGTTTGTTAACTGCCACAAGAAATAATTGTACATTAAAATTTTGTGATCACTTGTAAAAATATAAGTTAGTGATCAAGCAGAAAGCTGTTATCAATGTCGCATTGGCTTCTCCAGGCAGTCGCATGCAGCAGCTGATGAACCGCAGTGCAGCCTCCAGTGACAATGAGAGTCTGTCTGAAACCCCCCGATCTCAGGTACCTGGTCACCTGTCTCCTAGACACTCCCCTCATCACTACCTCTTCTCACAGGTTTGTGGCCCCCACATGCCATGGCACCTACACCTCCATCACCCCCACCTCCCCTCCCTAAAGCAAGAGAAAATTAATATAAAAATATAAAGTTAGATTTAAAATATAATTCAGAGGTGTTGAAAAACTGAAAACTATTGTTTTGAAGAACTGAAAACTATACTGTATATTTATATTTTGTATGTGTTTGTTGTAAAAACGTCTTCTTAAAAAAACACATTTCAAAATTTTGTACACATACTGTATTTTGTTGTACATGTTTGTTCAAAATTTCATATTCCTTATCAATCTCACTGTTTGGACATATCAACTATTTGATATTTGATTAAACTTTTTGAAAATCTTGCTGTTGTAGCCTAGTTGTGTAGGTACCATTGGCAATGACTTATTTCATGGGTGGAGAATCAATTATCTAACTTGTTCTAAAGTAAAATACTATCTCTCCATTGTAACATGAATTCAAGCCCCTGAATGATTCTCTAAGCATGAATTTAACTGTGATAACATTATTTTGACCTTTGCAAATTGCTTTTTAATGGTAATGGGTTCTCTGCTTGCGTGATTTTATGGTAATTTCTGATGTTAAAAGGTTAAAGGTTGTTGATACATTTATTAACCAAAACCTACTCCATGTGTGAGTGTGCATGAACTACCGTATATAATTTCTTTCAGTATGTTTTAAAAAGGGTTCAGGTTTTAAGGATGAAAGTACAGTATTATATATTTAATAGGAATAGAAATAAATCATATCAGTTTAATAAAATATTGTGGAGGAAATAGGGGAATATTTGTCAATATATCTATCAACAAATAAAAAGCCTTCTGTGTAGCTACTTGCAGAATTTTTTTTCCCTAGTAAACATATACATCTACATGTATTTGTAACTTTAACTACTAAAAAATTGTTTGAATTGGAACAGCTTCCTGCAGTTGAACTAAATATCCTTTTACACCCAGTAATAACATAACTGCAATATTTCAGACTCCTGCCGAGTTGCTGAATGGCGCTGGCCCAGAATTAGATCCAGAGCTCCTAAGGAGAAGCATGGTAAATAACAAGCAGTTCATCATTTGAACTTGAAATCTTCTTAATACAGTGTAATGTTTCTCTGGTCTCAAGAAGACATCATGAACAGTAATAATCTATATGATTTCGTTTGACTAATGAAGCATTGTTTAGTGTAATGAGAGAATTTTTGACAAATGTTTTTATATGTAATGTAGATGGAGCATGCGCTCTATTTTGGAGACCGAAGGGGCAGAAGAGGTCGCAAAAGGAAAGCAGAAAAAATGGCAGAAATTGCAATGGCTGAAGCGCTATCCAAGAGAAACACAGCTAGAGCAGCTGCCAGCTTTGAACCAGGTATGTAGTGGGTTTTTCATGGAGTTTTTTTTAATGTAAGATTATGTGAGTTTGGAAGGTCATAAGAATAATTTCTAAAACATTTGCAGAGTCCCGTGTTCCTGTCGTTAACTTGGAGGATGGTAGTCGTCTGTCAGGTGATGAAGCTCCACTGAAGCGTGACCTTGACAAATGGTTGGATGAGCATCCAGGTTACATGGTAGACAGACCTCCAGAAATGTATATGGAGGAAGAAGATATGCTAGAGGTATAAAATGTGTTATGATTGCATACTATTCAAAAATGACTCTAGGCTGAAAAGAAAAGGTTCTTTTTTTTTTTTTTTTTTTTTTTTTTTTTGGAAATACCTGACATTCCTTTAAGCTTTTTTTAGGGTCAATTTACAGCATAAATGTATTCTACAAAGAAGAAAGTAGAGGATGAAAAAGATGTATATTGATCATTGCAGATTGAATAATTTAATTGAAATTTTTAGTGTGTTCTATTGTATGTTTATATAAAGTTAATTTCTATATGTCAGCATGGTGATAGAAGAAGAGGAAGAAGGCCCAAGGTAGACCCAGCTATGTTAGACCCCATGAAACTGACAGGAGAGGAAAATGTAGCCGTGGTCAATAGAATCACTGGCAAAAGGGTAAGATCATGATCACTTGTCAATCTCTCTATCAAGCAGAGTAGTAAACATACTGTGTGTAATTGTCTTGGTAACAAACAGAATCCTCTCTATGATGTAGACCCCAAATGGATTGATATTGTTAAATCAAGTTTTGCATTTAATACTGTTTCAACATGAATTAAAGGTGCATAGACACAGATTTGAAGTTTATATTTTCTCAAATTTTCTGTATAATATCACAACTTGTATGTTGCTGTAGCATTTCACACGAAAATAAAATTAAAAACTTATTTAATCTGGAAATTATTGAAACTGCGAATTTCGGGAGACGTTTGATTAACACATCCTTGCACTTTCACAATTTTTAACTTTATCCTTAATACTTAAGAAAAGTAGCAATTTTGTTGTGTATTAATGAATAATATTACATCTATAATCCAGAAAATTTAGAGTAAAAATGTGCGAAAGCAAAACCCACTCACTTAAGTATTGTCAGCCCGTGCTCAGTGTTGTGTAGTTGTGTACAGAGTTTAACCAATTGAATACACCTGTGAAACGTAAACTGTTTTTGTAAACAGGGCACGAGCTCTTTACGTTTCACCGGGTGTGTTCAATTGTTAAATTCTGCACACACCATTGAGCACGGACTGACAATACTGGTGAGAGGATTCTGCTTTCTATATTTCTACTCTGAAATTTCTGCATTATAGTTTTAATATTTTTCATTAATAAACAACAAAATTGCTACTTTTCTAAAGTAATAAGGATAAAGTTAAAATTTGTGAAAGTGCAAGGATGTGTCTATCAAACACGTCCAGAAATTCGAAGTTTCAATAACTTCCAGATAAAATAAGATTTTTATCAAATTTTCGTATGAATTGCTATAGCAACATATAAGTCATGAAATTATACTGAAAATTTGAGGAAATATTAACTTCAAATCTGTGTCTAAGCACCTTTAAAAGTGGAATATTTGTATATAATTGCCTTTACAGATAACTGGTGCTAAAGCTCCCCCTATGAGGTATCTAGGTGAATGGTTAGAACAGAATCCTCTCTATGATGTAGACCCCAAATGGATTGATATTGTTAAATCCAAGGTAGGACTTTACTCTTTTTTGGGTGACACAAGTTACAGAGTAACACAGTGTACTTTGTGATCTATTGTTACACATATTTAGTCTTCATCAACTTTTTTTGAGATCTCACGTAAATGTTATTATTTGCAGGCCAATTTACCAAAGAATCTGTTGTCACGTGTGAGCACACCATCATCGGAACGTCGACGTGGCAGACCAAGGGAAAGGGATCTGTCAGCGTCTTTGCTATCAGACAATCCCTACAGTGCTGCGTCTCTAGCTGCCAGTATGTCTGCATTTCCAGGCCTTGGTCTCATGTCAGGCTTTGGCAAAATGCCTCTGGGAATGCCCTTTGGAACATTGCCTAATTTAGGACTGACAAATCCCATGCTGGCAGGTTTTGCTGGCTTGATGCCTGGACTTTCACCATCTACAATGGCAAAGTCGATGGAAAGTGAGACCAGAAAAGAAAAATCACCCAGCAGTAGCAAGGAGTCAAGCAAATCCAAATCCCCAAGCAGCTCTCAGACTCCACACCCTTCATTCCCCATGTTGTATAATCCACTTCTATTCAATCCCCTCCTAGCAGCCCAGGCTGCTCAGGGCTTGAACTTCTCGCTGCCCACATCACTGCCCTCGTCTTTCGCCTCCCTGGCCCAATCAGGTCTTGTTAATGGACAGGGTGATTCTGATCTGGAGGAAGGAGAAATCAAACGATACAGCCAGGCAGAACACCGTGAACAGGAAATGGCTCAAGATCTGTCAGTGAGACGTAAAGAGGCCCATTCTCACCATAGGAAACGGAAAAGTTACGAAGTGTCTCGACCTGCTGAAGCAGCAAGTGTTAGGGACGATCAAGACCAAGCAGCATGTTTAGACTTGTCTATCAAATCAAAACCAAAAGATTCACCAAAAGCCAGTGATATGTCGAGTAGATCACATTCTACTTCAGAATCACCAAAAGATAGTTCAAAAACCAAAAACAAAATACAGGGTTCATTTAAATTGGATAAAATTTTGGACACTCTTAAGGACAAAGTGAACAAAATGGAAGACAAACCTGTTAAAAAGGAAAAGGATAAAGACAAAGAGTCAAAACTAAATAGCATTTTAATGAAAATAGCCAAAGAGAAAGATGTGGATGTGAATACATTGAACTCTATGGCAGTTTCAGACACATCCCACACCAAGTGTTCAGAAGGGTCAGATCTATTAACGGGAAAGAAAGAAGGAGAGATGTCGTCAGAGGAAACTGAAATGTTGACAAAAGAAAGTGAGGACCAGTCATGATAATCAGATTTTGGAGTGACCACTGTTCATTTCAAGACTTGCTGTGCATGAGTGAGTGAAACCATATCAAGGGTCATCTGTCCATATTTGGAAGGGCCACTTAAAACTGTACAGTGGAATACTGTGTTGAATGTGTTCCAGAAAAAATGTGACTTGTTTGTTACTAGTGGATTTAATTTATTCATTGTGAGTGAGTGGATAGCCTTCATGATATGTATACTGTACATGTGTTGACAGATTCCAGGTCATGTTTGTCTGCCAAATAGTGATAAGTGTGGTTTCCATGGTTTCACAAAGATCTCCCCCGTTTGCTCACCCCTTGGCAGATTGCTGAGGATGTTGAGGGGTGGGCACAGTCACTGCAGACACCTCATCATTTTCGTTCTCAGGGCAATAATGTTAAAAACAAGTATTACATGTGTTGGAACAATTTTTTTTTTTTGCATAGTAACAATCAATTCATCTCGCTCATGTTGTATATAATTTATTCATTGTCGGAAGTTCAAATGTACCAGGCTAAACCACTGAAATACATAACTTTTTTTTATGTGTGATAAGGCCACAAACAAGCAAAGCTAAACTTTGTTGAGACAAGTACGGTTGTGATAGAATTGTACATTGGATGGTAGATTTGAATTTCCTTGTCATTTTTACACATGATATTAGTTTCATAGGCTATCATTGCTGTTGTGTATATGCAATTTAATTTAAGAGTCACATTTTCAAAGAAAAAGGAAAAAAAAGCCAGGTTAGATCAAATAACTTACCTGCAATAATGACTTTCTGACAGTATTGACTGTTTCCAAAACGCACCAGAATATTGTCTTTCCTATGCTTTGGTTCATTGATTATGACCTTTCGTGATTTGTGATGAAAATACTGCTTTACTATGTCTTTACATGTATCTCAGGTCCATTGGTCTGTAAGGTGAGATTTTGTCAAAGTTCTTATCTACATGTACATTGTCTTCATCTAACAAAAATTATGTTAAACTGGGTGGGGAAAAAAGTGCACATTCCTCAAAGGTTTTCATCTGAATTTATGTTCACTTTGTTCTGTTATATTAATATTGCCTCCATTTGAAATAATTTATGTATTAGTAGTGCAAAATTCATCTCATCAAAATTGGAGGTGATAAAATAATGAAATTAGATGATTTTTCTTTGTCCATGACATTGATAGAAGGTCATTTATTCTATCATATCAATAGTTTTCCTGCAAGGCAGGCAAGTATTTAGGTGCAGATGGTGTCTACACCAATATTAAGATTGCTCTTTACACTTTAATGTAGGGGCATTTTCTCTAGAGAGAAGAAATTGCAGGTGATTTCTTGCCCGGAATAATTTTGTTGGGTGGATGTTTAGTGAAATAACGAATTGTATGTATTTATTTGTTGAGGAAATTTTGTATGTAAACTATTTTTATTAAACATGAATTCAGTAATTGCAGTTTTGGTTATCTTTTAAATATATCTTGTGATGACGAAAAAGGTCCTCTGATAGCAATGGACTAATTTTGTGTTTTTAGTTTTTTACACACATCTAGCAAACTTTACTTTGAACTTTGATGAAAATACCTGTAATGCAGAGTGGGAGATACCCAATCAAAAGTATACTACTCCCATGTGGATACTTGGTATATTATGACATTGTATGATGTAAATACTGGTATTCCTGGGGTAGACAAAGTTATTTGACATTAGCATTAGGTTCATGTATTCGAGAGTGAAACATATGCACATGCATTGGAATTGGTAAAAATGCAGACATTTTTGTATTATCCCCATGGTGCATTTACAATATAGAAGTTCATCACTTTCATAAAATCACCTCAGTTCCGCTGAGGGGGAAATTAGAAGGCTAAAAAGTATACATTATTGTGGTTCTACAATAATATTAAAAGATCTTTCGCGAGTTAATTTGAAAAATTGACAAGCTGGTGACATTGACAGTCAGGGCACAAGATGAGAAGAGTATTCGTCCAACAGTGTACATGTACTTTGGTACAATCAAAATGCTAAAACGGCATGATTTTTAAGGTATGAAATTGTATCTAGTAAACAAACTCGTATTCTAACTATTCACTGAGTGGCATTCTCAAAAAGTATTCACGATACAAGGAAAAGAATTTTTCTGTCGCAAGTGGTAAACAGCTAGACTCTAGTATTCTTTGTTTAAAATACTCAAAACTTGTGGACCATACAGCTTTAATGAAAAGGTATTTTTAGCTCAGCTGAGCCGAAGGCTCCAAGTGAGCTTTTCTGATCGAAATTTGTCCGTCTTCAGTCGGCGTTGTCGTCGTAAATTTTTCACATTTTCATCTCCAGAACCAATGGGCCAATTTCCATCAAACTTGGTACAGAGTGTCCTTGGGTAGAGGGGATTCAAATTTGTTCAAATGAAGGGCCACACCCTCTTTCAAGAGGAGATAATTAAGAAGTATTGAAATTTTGGTGGGGTAATTTAAAAATCTTGTCAAAAACCACTGGACCAGAAAAGTTGAAACTTATGTGAAAGCTTTCTTAGGTTGTGTAGATTCAAGTTTGTTCAAATCATGACCCCGGGGTAGGAGGGGCCACTAGGGGCGATCAAAGTTGTACATAGAATACATATAGGAACAATAAGAAAAATCTTCAAAATTCTGAAGAAGAACAGCAAAGTCATGATTAGTCATATTTATATGGAAGCATCCTCAGGTAGTGTCGATTCAAGTTTGTCAAAATCATGACCCCCATTGGTAGAGTGGGGATACAATGGGTGATCAAAACTTTACATAGTAATACATAGGAAAAATCTTTAAAATTCTTCTCGAGAACAGCAGTGTTATAATTAGTCATGTTTATATGGAAGCATCAACAGGTAGTGTAGATTGAATTTTGTCCAAATCAAGACTCCTAGGGGCCACTGGGCGATCAAAGTTTTACATAGGAATACATAGGGGAAATCTTTGAAATTCTACTTCTCAAGAACAACAAAGTCATCATTAGTCATGTTGGAAGCATCCTCAGGCAGTGTAGATTCAAATTTGCTCAAAGCATGACCCCTTGGGGTAGTATGGGGCCACAATGACCAAAGTTTTACATAACAATATATACAAAATCTTTTAAAGTCTTCTTCAGAAAAGCAAAGCAATGATTAATCATATATTATTTTTGATCCAGTTTCAGACTATTGTGATTATGTTGCAAATCTGGCACTTCCATGAGTATCTTACTTGTGGTATTGTACATCTTTCATTTGTACCTTCATGATAGATATGATTTATATTCTTTCATATTTCAATATACTTTAATATTATTTATGAGTAATCATTCTGAAATAATTGTATATGCCCCCTGAGGGCCCTTGATTGGTGAATAAACATAAACTATATATATTATTGTAATAAAAATATATACTGGGGGGAAAAATCTGCTGATAAAGAACAGTAGGGCCGTAGTTACTCAGGTGAGCATTGTTCCCCATGAGCTTCTTTTTTGCGGACACCCCCCCCCCCCCGATACTAGATGCCTGATTGACCCATATACGAAAATGCAGTCTTACCAGCAGCGGTAATTAACAATACTGAATATTGTATTACCTGAAAAATAATCTGTAGAAAGTACAGGTTCTGAGATGCTTTTATGTACTAAATATAGGGATATCTGTTCCTCATTCAAGAACAATAACTTCAATTATTTAATAAATCTCAAAATGAAACTTGAAATTTTTTGTGTAGCTCACCTGAGCCGAAGGCTCACGGGAGCTTTTCTGTTTAAAATTTGTCCGTTGTCGTCGTCGTAAACTTTTCACATTTTCGTCTTCTCCTGAACCACTGGGCCAATTTCAACCAAACTTGGCACAGAATATATTTGGGTGAAAGGGATCTTTTTTTTTTTTCAAATGAAGGGCCGCATCCTCTTCTAAACGATCGAGGATAATAAAGAAATAGTGAAAAATTGGGAGTCTTGGAAATGGGCTTGTAAAAAGTAGACATTTCCATCCCCATAAAAGTACAAAATATTACATTTTTATAGAAATTTAATTTCCTTTTTAATTTCTCATAAAATACCATTGATTATCAGCATGCAATGAAATTGAAGTGATCCGTGATGTCTTGCAATTATCTCACTTTGAGCCGACTCCTTTGTCCGAGATCTGTCGTACACCGGTCATATGACCAGTGTAAAATTGTTAAAGGCTTATTTACACGACAAATGAAGTAAAAAGGGCGAAAAACAAAAATTAATTATTCTCAATAATAATTAATGCAGAGCTATCACTTTTTGCATTGCGTCTTAGCGGGGAAAAAAAGTTGACTGGATTATTCGGAATTCGATGTTAAAAAAAGAAATCGTGGACCCCTGGAAGATTTTTTTCAAATAAGTATATATTTTAAAGTATGAATGAACATTTGTTTAATACATGCAAACAATCAAAGAACATGCCGATTTGTTAAAAAGTATCTGCATTTTAACAACTCTTTATATCTTCCCGCCTTATCTCTAAACCGGCAAATTATTCGCCGGTCTTTTTAAACCAGCGAACCTGTAGCGGTCAAATGAAGTAACAACCCGTGTTACCAAAGCACAGGTATTCAGCTCCGAATTAAATGGAGTACCCCCTCCCCATAATCGCAGTCATATACACTTTCAGAGAATTTTTATGCATTGGCAAACTGTTTATTACCATTGTCTTCTATGATAATTTATCTACACAACCATATATGACATGCTCGTCTTTATTTTCTTTTATCTCCATAAACAGCTAGCGTCAAAACTCTGCTCGCAAACGGGAAAATTCGTCTCAAGTGCCTGTGTACCAAAGGCAAAGCGGTACAATCGACGTACGCCAGTTTGACAAATGATTTAAGTCCTACAATGCTTTTACAATATGTATTATAAAGCAATTGAAGCTAATGCAAGAACTAGAATACATCATTTGTACTTAAACAAAACAAGAAGTGTTTGTGAAACACTGATCCCCCCGTATGGCAACTTATAGCAAAGGTTAAACTTTCTCAAATGCAAATTAAATATGTTGGTACCCAAAGTAAGGTCTTGTCTCGAGGAATATACCTGTGAAATATGAAAGCCCTAGCAGCAACCATTGAGTAGATACGGAAAAAGTTTTTTCAAAAGTATGTCAAACATCAAGGTCAAGGTCAAATGGTCAAAATTAATGGTGCCCAAGGAAAGGCCTTCTCCCAAGAAATACACAGGTGAAATATGAAGGCCGAAGCACCAATCGTTTAAAAGTTATGACCAAGGTTAAAGTTTTTCAAAAATAGGTCAAACTCCAAGGTCAATGTCAATGGATTATAATTGTTGGTATCCAAAAGAAGGACTTGTCACAAGAAATAGGTTAAATATGAAAGCCCTAGCACCAACTGTTCAAAAGTTCTGTCCAACTTCAAAGTTTTCCAAAAGTAGGTCACACTCCAAGGTCAAGGTCAAAGTTGTTGGTATCCAAAGGAATGTCTTGTCACAAGGATTACATATGTGAAGTATGAGAGCCCTAGCACCAATGGTTCAAAAGTTATGGCCAATGTTAAAGTTTTTCAAAAGTAGGTCAAACCCCAAGGTCAAGGTCAAAGGGTCAAAGTCATTGGTATCCAAAGGAAGGTCTTGTCACAAGGATTATATATGTGAAGTATGAGAGCCCTAGCACCAATGGTGTAAAAGTTATGGCCAAGGTTAAAGTTTTTCAAAAATAGGTCAAACTCAAGGCCAAGGTCAAAGGGTCAAAGTTGTTGGTATCAAAGGAAGATCTTGTCACAAGGATTACGATTGTGAAGGATGAAAGCACTAGCACCAACCGTTCAAAAGTTATGGCCAAGGTTAAAGTTTTTCAAAAGTAGGTCGAACTCCAAGGTCAAGGTCAAAGGGTCAAAGTTGTTGGTATCCAAGGGAAGGTCTTGTCACAAGAATTACACATGTGGAGTATGAAAGCCCTAGCTATGGCTTTCATATTTCACAAGTGTATTCCTTGTGACAAGACCTTTCTTTGGGTACCACCATATTTGACCTTTTGACCTTGACCTAGGAGTTTGACCTACTTTTGAAAAACTTTAACCTTGGCCATAACTTTTGAACAATTGGTTCTAGGGCTTTCATATTTCACATGTGTAATCACTGTGACAAGATCTTCCTTTGGATACCAACAACTTTGACCCTTTGACCTTGACCTTGGAGTTTGGCCTACTTTTGGAAAACTTTAACCTTGGTCAGAACTTTTGAAAGATTGGTGCTTCGGCTTTCATATTTCACCTGTGTATTTCTTGGGAGAAGGCCTTTCCTTGGGCACCATTAATATTGACCATTTGACCTTGACCTTGATGTTTGACATACTTTTGAAAAAACTTTAACCTTTTCCATATCTATTCAATTATTGCTGCTAGGGCTTTCATATTTGACAAGTTTATTCCTCGAGACTAGACCCTACTTTGGATACCAACATATTTGA